ACAGAATTATTTTGTTCAAACATAGATACTCGACCTAGTCATATTCAGTGTCGCAGTGCGATCGAATAAATATTTTATGATTTCGCATACTCGAACGATTAAATATCATCGAATCTCAGCTCCAAAACTGTTCAAACTCGAAAATTTGACCATTTGAGAATTAAACGCTTTTTTCCGAGTATTCAAATAAAGAAACTACGAATTTTACGAAGTTTGAATTTTTTATTCGAATTCCTCCTCAACTACAGTAGGAAGTTCTGATCCTTGATAGCCTTCTTTCTCAGTATGAGACAGTAGTGAGCCAAGTTTTCACTATCACTTAATTCATTCTAAAGCATGTATTTTCTCTAATCTTCTTTGTGAAATGGATAATGCTTTATACTAAGATTGCTTTTGAGAATGGTCGAGAAGGCCATGGAGAGGATTTTCCTATGTCCGTTTTCCCCCACAGTATCTTTGAAAGCAGAGACAAAAACTGTTGTTTTAACATATTTTTGCATGAAGAGCGGTATGAATAGTGCAGATCAGAAGGCACTTTTATCTTTACACTATTCTATTCGATTATAAAGGAATTTAGTTTTGGTAATTGTATTAGCTTCCATTATTCTTTGTATAATGGAAGCTACCCAAGTTGCAGAAAAGGCTTCATTCCATATTTTGATAGAACCCATGTATTCGGGTCTTTCTGTGACTTCTTATTTGCGATCTTCACTGTCTAGCATCCTTTACTTACTTTCAATAATGCGTAGGCTTCTAAGCAACGATTCTAATGGAACAGATATTGAGAGTAGTTTGAATTATGACGCATTCATTTGCTTTAAATATAAGCTCTTTACGTCGTTGGCCTTGGTCAGTAGTTCAGACCCTTCAATGACATTATTATCATAAACAATAATACATGTATTGATAAATGATGATAATTTCTCCTTTTTAGACGCCACGACATGAGCCGTCGTCATCAAACACGTCCTCTAAGAGCAATGGTTCTACACCAAATCAGCATCCACCGAAGCCTGCGGCAGCACCTGTCCCAACTCAGTCCTTCTCAAGCAACTTTCCCCCGAAACACCTGGAAAAAGATGAGGTGTTGTTATAATAGTTAGTTGCTCTCAAAAATGAGTCTGATTTGTTATATCGCAGTTCACGTGACTATACCTTTTCAAATACTCTCCATTAGTTTTCAGATGAGGTTGAAATCGGTGCAGATGATCTTGAATGCGCTTAGATATACAGAACTTCCTGATGGTACTCACGATCCTGAGGAAATTGCGGTTCGAGTAGAAGAGAAATTGTTCAGTGTGGGTTCCCTATCCTAGTCTTTATTAAAATTCATTTTTCATATAGCACCCTAGCTTCACGCATAGGGTA